ACATACATACACACACATACACACACACGCACACACACACACAGACATACACACACACATACATACACACACACACATACATACACACACACATACACACACACACATACATACACACACACATACACACACATCTATTCGTTAATGAAATCAAGTTTATTGAAATTAATTCCGAAAAATATTTGACTAAAATAGTGTATGGATGAAAGAATTAGCTAAAATCCATTTCAAATGTTTTTCTATTTTCGTTTTTCAATTTACTATAAACATTGAAATATAATTGATTTTGTAGAGATTTATATTTTATATTCACATTTGCATTAAATTGAAATTTAATGCAAGAATTTAAATGATTTATATGAATTAAAATTTGTATAATAAGTAACAATATCTCATTAAAAGGACCATTCATCTTTGTATCAATAAAAGCTCATTAATAAAAATTGATTTAATGAATTAAACCCTTTCGAGGTAAGCCCTTTCGTTCATTCTTCTTTAATTTACAAAAAAAAAATGCTGTCATCTTCTTCTCATCTCAAAATGATTGCTCTTTTTCTTCTTGAAAAAAAAATCTTGTTAGCACTATCGATGTTATTTGAATAATTTTTGTATTATTTCAGATACTTAATTAATATAAACTTTAGGAGAAAAAAAAATTGAAATTTGATTAAACTTCAAAACATACAATAATGTTTTGTACTATTACAAATTGAATCATGTCAAACATTTACGAATAGAATAAAAATGAGCACTTTCAAAATATTTAAAAATTTATTTATAGAAATGACGAATTTTGAATTACATTCAGTTGCAAACATATATTATTGTTTTGATATCTTTTTGAATTGCAAACTTTCCGCAATTATCGCACGATGCATTATTTGCAAAGAAAAGATAACGAGAATATGTTATTACCGCAGTAATAGAGTAGGAGACCGAGAGTTCTCACTGGCTAATGGATACTTTTTGCTATAGTTGTGATCAATCCATACGGTACTATATTAATTAGGAAATGAAATCTTCGGAAAACGTTATAATAAAAATAATTTTGAAATTAAATTAATGCTCAAAATTGTGTGATCAAACAAAGAGGAAGCATCAATTTTGTTTATTAATTACAATGAAATATAATTGCATTCCTGTTAATTCCATTCATGCAATATTAAATTTCTCATAGATTTACAGAATAACCTCATTACTGGAAATAAAATTCTATCACTGAATTAATTCAAAAATGGATTTGTGAAAACGCAATTTCTTTCCTTTCTTTTCTTTTCTTTTTTTTTTGGTAGACTACAAAAACAGTTTTTAAAATATGTCTTACAATATACCTGCAGTATGTACTTCCTATTTGTTAAGAATCATTAGACCCTATTCTAGTAATCAAAACATAGATCAGGTAATTGTTACCATTCCTGAATTTGTATTTCATAGATATGAACGATGCAAATAGATTAATAAACAAGAAAAAAAATTTATTCTATGATTCTTGTCAGACGGAAAGATCAGTATATACTTTAAGGATTATTTACTCAATAAAGTTAAAAAAAAAGTATCCGAATAGAATTCGGATATGTTTTCAATCAGTTTTAAGATTCTTCCTTCTCTCTCTCTCTCTCTCTCTCTCTCTCCCTCTGTTTCTTCTTCTGTCATGCGATAGTACGTACGCTTTTCTTTTGATAAGAGTTAATAATGCTTTCATTCGTACAGCTTAAAGAAAAAAATTCAAAAAAAAAAACAATTTATACATCTATATGAACAGTAAATCTTTCATCTAAAATTATTAACATTAAAATTGTGAATGCTATAATTCTGAATCTTTAAATTTTGGTACTTTGTTTTGATTTGCATTAAAAATTTACCTCTGTTATCAAATATTAATAAATAAATTTAGAAAGCAGTGAAGATAATTTGATGATCTAATATAATCTGCTTATCTATCATTGTTATTATCAGTCTAATTTCTAACCTTCTTAACATTTTAATCATGTCCACTGCATTCTTCAGCATGGCATATTCCATTTCGATAATTTATCAATTTATTTACTTTGCTTTGTAAGAAATGACTGGTATAATGATAATTTAAATAATGATTATAGTGATTATGTTGAATATCTGATGAACGGTAGTATACTGTGTTCTAAGAATCATATTACAACAAAAGAATAAATAAATAATTTTTTTCTAATGATACAATATTTCAAAATGGGTATTAAAATTAATACTTAATTTAGAAATGATACTACTGATAATATTTTGTTACAAGGATTTACTGCACTAATTTTATCCGTTTGTGATTGCTTCTTTCTGGTGTCAGCAACAGTTGAAGTTTTCATTATTTATATCTATTCAGCGTTGTACGTACGAATGTTTATCAGTTCTGTAAGTTGTGCTTCTGCATTATTTTATTTCAAATAATGATATTACAATCAAAATAATGAAAGTACTACTTCTCATTACTGTCAACAATAATAATCCTAAACGATAGTATTATAATAACAACTTCAGTTTGGTAGCATAATATTTAATTTGGAACTTTACACGATGTTTACCATCCGTTACGATCACATAATTTAAAGATTACAATTCGTATTGCTATTCTTACTGGAGTATCTGTTTGATAATATATCACTGATATGTCCCCTTCAATGGCTGATATGCTATAGAATTCAATCTTAATCATCTAGGTCAATATTTTTGTCTTATTACTCCAAATAATAATTCGAAATTGTAAGCTCTAATTATCACACCTGATGAATGATAATTAGTGTGACATTTTTATTGCAATTATAATGTTTTATATTTACTGATGAATGATTATTAAAGCAATATTTGCTTAAATCAATCTATCGTTGCAAAATTTCTTCAAAAAAAATTTTTTTTTCTTAATTGCTTTCATTTGTAGATATATTATTGCTTGATGGATTATTTTATTCTCATTGCATTCAATATATTGTCGCTTGTGACCCTTTGTACGCTTAACAATCGACTGATACTAAATTATGGAAAATTGTGATCGAAATCTGAAAACATGCGGAAGATTCACAAGTAATGGTGATGATAATGATAATGATATGGATGATATGAATTGTCATACAATCATTGTCACAATATCACTATAATTACTACAGGAAACAATAATACGGCTACTGAGAATATTGCTCTCGTCAAGGTGAATGATACTTCTGTTCTTGTTGAACAAATAAAAAGTCGGATATTTATGTAATTAAAGCTTTTTAAACGGTCAGTTGAGATTAGAAGAGAAGAAGAAGAGTGAAACTTCTTTTTTCAATTTTCTAAAAGAAGTCCTTCACTTTGTATCCCCTTTGTAAACCAATTTTATGACAGTTTATTGGTAAGTGTCATTTACTGCTAAATGTCATCATCCTATCTAAACATCTCTCTATTCGCTATAAATAAACTAGCCTGCAAGAATTCTTAATGATTCAATTTCTTTCATTTTCTACAAGTTATATTCATTACGTTTTTCACGAAAATTTTTGAATTCGAAACTTTCAGGGCGTGATAGAAAGTCAAAAGTCAAAAGCTAAAAGCACAACGTTTCGATGCTAATGCAATATTATTTGCGGTTGTAATTATGCTACTGATATGTACTGGATCGCAAGGACCAGTCTGATTACTCTTTAATCATTATGGAGAGTATCATTTGATAACAATCACTTATATATGGGTTACTCAAAAGGTATTTTTCATCTTTATAAACCCATGGATAGGTAGGAAGAAAGGTTAAGATATTTGGTTCTACAAATAGAAATTATTTCTCTTTCTGACGAAACAATGGATATAATTGTTGATTAAATGAAGAATATTGAATGAATAATTTTGTCAGCCTTATCAATTAACAATCATATCTGATCGATCAATGAATAAACTAATTTATGTATAACAGATGTGTTGATGATATAAACTTTCGAAGCATTTTCTTTCTTTGCAACATCAATGCTACAGTAGAATTCTGTTTTTATTGTCTGGTGGTAGACGATATCATCAATTAATGATAGAAACACTCGAAGGATTTATTGAAAAGATAATTAGGAAGTATGTTATTATTTAGATTTTCATCTGATTATTATTATTTTATATAGTGTATGGTTTTTGCTTCTTGAATATGCCACTTGATAGAATTAAAAAAGTACGTTGTTTAATGAATTTTTTCTTTTTGATTATAAAAATTTTATAAAAATGTTTCTTCAAAAAAGAAAAAACAAAAAAATACGGAAAGAGCGGCTGACGAATAGTACGAATAGGAATACCTCTAATATGCACTTTTTTTAATCACATTCGACATTTCAGATACTGTTCAGCAGTTGCGCTCCACACGTGATCCGTCATTACGTGTGTGAATGTAAGCGTAAGATGAACACAAGTATGGAAAATATCGAAGGAATTTTATACTGTTAAATTCTGAATGTGTGAAGTCTTGAAACATAAAACATAATCTGAAATCCAAAAGAAAAACGATGGAAACCGGAGTCTTTGGGAATTATCTTGACTTTTTTCAAACGAATAATGAGAGAGATGACGAAGATATATTCAATTAAAACTTATCTGAATGATACAGACTAGAAGCATACCGGATTAAATTCCTGTTCTCATCCAGAAAAGTGAGAAATTTGAAGACTTTTAAATAGATGTTCTGGATTTCAGTATGGCCGGAAATTTTCCCAATAGTTTGTTGCGACTGTTAATTAAAAGCAACAGATATAAGCAGAAAAGATCCACCAATGAATCATCATTGTTATGACTGATTATTACTGTGACCGATCAAATCAACCGAGTTGTACCGAAGATTTGCTTGTTTGTTAATGAAACTACATATGATGTTGAAAAATACATGGAATAGAAAGAATATTATTATACGCTATGATATCAACAAGTGACTGATTAAAATCAAACAGATAGCTATGAAATAAAAGCAACAGAAAATAATTTAAAGGTAGTCGAAAAAAGATAGATTTAATTTAGTATTTGATGTTAGATCAGTGTATCTTCAATTCATTTTGCTTGTTCTGTGTAATTATTTCGACCAGTGAACCGCTTGGAGGCCGTAATGATGGATTTAAAGTCCATTCATGCAGTAGTTCTGCTATGTAATTAAGTGACGTCCATCTGAAATATTTGGAATTAATTCAAGTTATGACTCTGGCAAATTCAATTTAGTTATAAAAAAAATCGAGATTTTATATGTATATAAATAATAACTGAGCCTGGCAAAAGAGCTTCATAATAATTGGCAAAACATGTCCTTTTACAAGATCGACTCTTCCTCAAGCTTTCAACTATTATTCGTTCTTTAGAGGTAAAACATAAATTTATACTTTTTTTTTGATTTTATATAATGTACATCATGTAACTCTTCCAGTTTTCATAAATCTTAATATAATTCCATTTCGAATTGCAACTTTCGAAATCCACTATTAATTAATACTGGAAAGTGCTAATTATTTGCAAACAAAATTATTTTTGAAAACTAACGAATCAGTATTAGTTTTTGGCATCCATTTACGATTCTGTGCAGTATCTAGCATTGTTGGCAAAAGAGCAACAGCGGTACATGCATCAGGTATTCCAGATTTTTTGGTGCCAAGACTTTTGGCTAACTGATGTACTGCTGCTTTTGCCATACCATACCCCAACATTCCTGATGTATCTTTCAATACCTGTGAGTATGAAGTTTTCAGAAGTTAAAGTTAAACTGGACGAAGCTAGAAATTGAATTGTAACCAATTTCGAACCAACATTTAGTTAATTTGCATGAATATGTCATATTTAAAACATTTAAGTCCTCAAACACTACATTTTTAAATAATATTCCCTATTGTACTAATGGAAATTTTTTCCTCTTTTAGCATGAAAAAAGGTAAAAGCTCACTGATGCAGCACCAGTAAATTGAAGAAGGCCGTCCTTTTTCAGATACAATGCAGCAATTCGAGCAGATATAGTTGATGTCCACACATTTTGCTTCCATAGAATTTCCGAATTTTTAATCATATTTTCACTACTGGCATTACCGCCGGCCCAACCACCTGCTACACATAATATTGCATCCAGACGTTCACCGTGCAGTGTTTCGTCAATACTAAATAATTTGACCTACTGAGTCACCAGAATGATTTGCAAAACGGATTAGAGACAGAATTACTTCTACCAATTAAACTTATTTTCTAACATAAATTCATACTCACAGCTCAATTAAAAGAAAAAACTGCAACAGTTTTTTTCTGAAATTTAAAATTAATAAGAATAGTTTAGATTTACGATTTGAGGATTAAGCTTTCTTGTTCTGTCCACGATGCATCCTTGTTTACCACTACATTTGCATCAGCCATATCATTCTTCAAAACATCTATGTTTAATATCCACTGCAATGATTTATATCTATTAAAATTTAATTTGCTCTAATACACTTCATACAGCAAAGCAAAGCAATGCGAGTTCTCATTACTACTAGACACGGTGAATTCATCCTTGTAATCAAAGTAATTTGTAAAAGATTGTTTTGCTTGAAATACAACCTAAATAGACTAAAAACAGATTTATATATTCCAGAAAATTTTAAGAAAACCAAACAACGTCACATAACTTACAAAATTTTTATTTTTAAAATAATCAACTATTACTGAACCAAGTCCTCCTCGACCACCGTAAACAGCAACACGACTTGTTGACATTAAAATCAATTTTAATATCTTTAAAACCTGTAAGTAGAAAATGAAATGTTGCCGATTAGTAATCCGCATAAAATATACACTTGAAATTGGGAATAAGTAAACGAAAACTGTACAGGAATGAAACATTCGAAACCTGAAGACTTCAAATATTGTCACGACAAATAACAACACTATTTAACACAATTTAAACTTGACAACTATATTCCTTCCTTGCCTCGTGCTCTCTTATTGACGATAATGTAGAAAGAAAATATCTAAATTCGAATATTGAGAACCAAAAAACATTTGCTTAAATAGATATAAAATAAAACACAAGCATTACCTCCCAAAATTTATTCTTTATTCCTATTTCAGCATAAATGTCATTATATGGGACGTTTGTGCAATAAATCTATAGGAGTAATCAAGGAGCATTTTCATTCCAGGAAGTGAACAAAGGCAATGGTAATGTCCTGCTGAATAATAATTACAATCTCATTGCATAGCAGAGCTTTCTCACTTCGAAAAAAAAACTAAAACTTCAATCATTTATCAGCCACTCACTAAGTATTCATGAAAGCAACTGTAATTAAATGACTCTCTAATTACTGACATTAAGAAATTGAATATGACATATATAATCACCAAGAATGGCCAGCATCTTTATTAAAGTCTGAAGGTGTGTTATAACTGCAAATAAAATATCTAAGCATTATATACATTTGATGATCCTGAAAGATGCGGTAAACCTACTGTTAATACAAGTTTACTGCTTGTCATACAGTTAGCATCATCCTATCAATTAAGTTTTTAACCATATAATAGTTCGAATCTTCACTGGCTGTAAGTATTCCGGCGTAATACTTTTAAATGTGCTCCAGCAAATTATTAATTATTTATTACCAATTTCGAAAATCTCAAAAATTACTACATGTGACATGTAAGTTAAGAAGTACATTCAAACAACATATTTAATAGTTAACTATATCATTATCCCTTCGTTCTGTTCATTAAATGCAGCCGAAAAACTTTTAGTTTGATGTTATCCCGTATTTCTAGGCATATAGGTTTAGGACCCAAGCAGTACAAAAAATGGTACTTACACGCTTAAGAGAATTAGTAAAGGATATGTCCTCAGCATTTTCCACCAAGATGATATATTAAAGAAATAACTATGTACAACTGTCTACGATTTGATTTGTCTCCCGAATATTAACCTCGGAAGAACCATCATCTGAATCCTCAGAATCGCAATTTCCAGCATCTATGTGCAAAGTCAGTAACTTTGCTTCCAGCTCCACTTCTTCCAGATCTAACTGGACATCACTTTTTTTCAAAATTAAACGATTCAACTCGCACTGTAACCATGATACAACATTGTCTGAGGCACATTGAATCCATAAACAATAATCAGTTATAAATAAGTCATTCAACAGATAACGATAGTCACCACTTGTTGATAAAATCATATGCACATCGACAAGACACTGTAACAACGTCACCCTCCCTATAACAAAAATCCAACGAATTTTATTAAATTCTTTGGTCTTTTTAAACGAAAATATTAAACACCACAGTAGAGGTACAAGATGCTTGATGATCAGTACTCAAGGGAAATTAGGAACAACAATTTAAATGTCTTAAATTCCAAAAATAAATAAATAAAAGTAAAACTGTTAAATCTACCTTTGCTGAGGAGAAATTTCAAATCGTCTAATATTTTCATAGATAAATCCCAGTGCCGATAAAGAGGAAAACACAACGATCTTCTTACAGCACCTAGTATAGATTCCTTCACTGTCTTCCATCTGACCAAATAACTGAGACTAGGACTCAACTTTGTAATCGTCCAACCTAGCAAAGAAAAGAAATAAAAGATTACTGAATGAGTTCCTCATACAGTATAGTGATGGACTAAAAAGGTATCATCCACTAAAATTAAAATGAAAAGAAAAGCGTTCAAGTTTTACATGTCTCTTACATAAAAGCAGAAGTTATTGAAACGAAAAAAAAATACAAACAACTTATAAAAACACTAGAATATGTGCATTCTACATCTTTAATTTTCGCACATTAGAGATTTCTTTTTTTTATGAGTCCAATGAATTACGTATTTTAAATATAAAAGTACATATCCTAAATACACCTACATTATTAAAATGAAATGACTCAAAACAAACCAGATTCAGAGGAATGCTCGCCGCATGTAGTCCTCATATCATATAAATAAGCAAAAATAATATCTATCAGAGATAACGCAATTGTTTTTTCTAAATCAGACGAGTATTTGGGAAATAGTTTTCTGGGCAAATCTTTCAAATGATCACGACTTTTGAAAGATAAGTCAAACGTCGTTTCAGGATATTCAAACTGCAAACATTCATCCAATAAAGGATTCTTCTCAAACTGATCAGCACTGAAAAAGTTGCTTCATTTGGTTATATGTAAGTTTATAGACAAGCATGAAACATTGTTCGAAAAAAAAAGAAATCTCAATCCTTAATTTAAATTCAAAACATACATATAATGATCGGCATTGAACTTCGACTGATCATGCCTTAAACAATCCATAAGCCTTTCGTCAATTAGTGAATTTTCAGGATCATCCAAATCGAAAAGGTTGTTGATTTCTGCGCTAAATTTTCCAATAATACCGCGACGATTGCAAGCAAAGCCGTAACCGTAGAGTTTACATTTTTCGTCCATAAAATCGTCAACCATGCTACCATTCAGTGTTTGGGAATTTTCTTGTTCAAAAGAGACACTGTCAAAAATATCTGCAAAAAGTTATGAATTTTGCTATGAATTTTAGGCAAATTCAGCTTAATGCATGATGTTTAGATGGACAGAAGCTCAAAATGGAATTCGGTAAACCTAATAACTGCAGAAAAAAAGAACCAAACAATACCTCTACCTTCATCAATTTCTTCTATCAACCGTTTTGCATGGATATCTGATGGTTTTAGTAACTGATTCACTAAATCTAAATTAGGAAAGAATTCATCAATATTTTTCTTCCGAGCTTTGAATGTAAACGATCCTGAAAAAAGACAAATACTACGGTGGGGTAGTAAAGAGAAAAGATTAATTATATAACCAACGATTTTATACAAGTTATATATAACGAATGGAAAATGGTTATTTCAAAATTGATCTTTACAGGAAGATTTTGCATGAAAAAGATGTGAAAGGAATTTATTATCAATTAATTACTGATTATGTATGTGTTTAAGGAATATATATGGATAGGTATCCTTAACCTGACAAATTAAATCTATTTGATATAATAATAATATTTATATAGATGAACGGCACAATATTTAGGAAATGAAAGTTGAAATTTTCGAAGACAAAAACAGAAAGTTCAAATAGTATTAAGAATAGAAAAATTAAAAATTTATTCAGAGCATAATAAATCCCACCATTAGTTAATTATCAAATTACAAGCAAGACCAAAATCATTTAACTTTTTTAAAATATTCATTTACCTTTATCGCAGTCATATGTGCCGGTAATATCTTCTTCAGCTAATTCACCAGGTAAATATAACTTTAAGAAATATGGCTTCGAAGTGAAAAAGAATTGTAAGTCACAATATTCTGCCTCAGTATCTTTCACATTAGCGTAGGGTGCATAAATTTGGATGATAATCCATTCTGGCGTTTGATCAATGTGAAATACTGGCGTTAACATTCCTGAAAACATTTACGCAAACATTTACGCTTAAATCTTCTAAAAAAAAACTCCATACAATTCCAAACTTCACGCCCAACTTATTCAAAGCAATTCTTATTTCATTAAGAAACCAAAACGGTTCGTACATATCTTCAAATGTGACACAACTACGTATCATACACCTTTGTCTCACGTCCACTGCTGAACACGTCTATTGCTCTAGCAGAGAGGCCTCGCTTCTTCTTAAGTGACGTATAATTCAGAAAAGTTGGCGTGAGGTACCATTTTTCTGAATTGTTTTAGTATGTTAAACAGAAACCTAATGCTACATGAAATTAATATTAGTTTTTGAAGGAGATTAAACATGGAAAAAGTTTAAGGATTGGGATTGTAAGGAGTAGAATATGAGGAACTTTTAGTTGACGAAGTAATTTTTGAATTGAATTCTTTGAAAAATGAGGTCATTTCTTTTTACTATAGAAAAATAGCCGAAATTAATATTTGCACTTCTTATCATTTTCCGTAGAACATTTGAAAATAAAAAAAGGAAAAGAATTTAGAAGATATTTGTAGAGAAATATACGTAAGAAATTCGTGCGAAAAAAAAAGTAAAGTTGCTATACATTTCAGTTTTGTTAAATTGATGGCATTACGTAAAGTACGTAATAATTTGGATCGTTTTTTTGATAAAAGTCTGACAGACTTGATCCGTGGGATCCGGAACAATAAGGATAATGAGGTTAGTATTAGTTTTTGTTTATAGCAGTGATGACGGATAATTCATTTAAATGAAGGAGTAAAAACAAAGACTAGTGGAATTACAGTTCTATCTTATGTTATTCTATGTAACTATATCATGCGTTTAGGCCCGATACATCGCAGCATGTATTCATGAAATCAAGATGGAACTTCGACAGGATTCTGTTTTTATCAAAGCAAATGCGATCGAAAAACTTGCTTATGTATGTATTTAAAACATATCAACAATCTATATTTTGAAGTTAATAGAGTGGAAAGGAATCCACAAAAGGAGAAAATTCAGAATATGAAAATGAAATAATTCGGTGTTCCAAAAATATATCATTATTGAGTTATAAACTGTCAAGATATTAACATGATGAACTACTGAATAAATCGCATGAAGATTATTCAAGCGAACCTCCGATGATAATGATAAGTCGTTATTTATTTACACTTCATGGGTGGATAGTCTGATGTTGTTTGATTATTCGTTAAGATAATAACGGTGGTAATAAGATGATAACAGGCAATTATCCGTAATAAAATGATAATATTTACTTGTTACTCTTAGCACGAGTATTTTGTTATTCATCATGCATAATACAGTTTCAATTGCGAGTTACTGAACACAATAAGAGATAAGAGGTTTCAGTTGCAAATGATGGGATATGACATATCATGGGCATCATTCAATATTATTGAAGTGATGGCATCAACGAAATTTACTGAGAAGCGTATCGGGTATTTTTTCATGACGATATTTTAAAAATTTGACCAAAAAAGCGGAGGGAAGTCTAAAACGAAATGGTCGGATGATTTCTTAATAATTTCTGTGATAAGTAAATAGTATTTCGGTATGCTATGGTACAGACAAAGGAGTTTTGCAAACAGAATCTTACTTGGACTTATGACATTTATTGTAGTGGTTTTTTCGGACACTTAGAGCTTGTTTTGTTTTTGTTAGACTGTTTTGTTACCTAACTTGGACAAAAGTATAACCGCAATTCATTGACTTTGCCCCATTTGGTTTCAACCTCTTCCGTAAGTTCTTTGCACTCGTTATACATCAATCAGTTAATGTTTAAATTTTCTTTCTTTTTTTAGTTATATGGCAGCATCACAGTGTTTCCACGATGGTACCGATGTTTTAATGTTGACTACCAATTTAATACGAAAAGATTTACACAGTTCTGTAATGTACGAGACGGGTATAGCACTGGGAGCATTTTCATGTTTTGTTACGCCTGATTTGGCGCGAGATCTTACTAGCGATGTTGTGAATCTTGTATGTTAATATTTTCAATAGTTAGGAATCATTTCTAAGAGAATTGTCCGTTTTAATTTTATGAAATATGACAAGCTTTTATGTATTTTAAAGATTTTCTTCTTGCTTTTTTTGAAGCAATGTGATTTCCTAGTATTAGGAAGTTGGGACTGGGACCGGGTCATCATGGTAATACAGGGGAAAGTTTATAAACTAATGTTTTATTTCAGCTCTCTTCTAGTCGACCATATGTGCGCAAAAGATGTGTATTGCTATTGTACAAAATTTTTCTTAAATATCCAGATTCTCTAAGGCCTACTTTTCCACGGCTGAAGGAAAAGCTGGAGGACCCGGATCCAGGTATTATAGTCAATTTTCTCTTTTGAATGCAGCCTTACAATGCTATGAATTAAAGTCGGTGATTTTGTCTCACCGAATTCCTTAATCTTTTTCAGGTGTACAAAGTGCTGCAGTGAATGTTATTTGTGAGTTGGCACGAAAAAATCCTAAAAATTATCTAACTTTGGCACCAGTGTTCTTCAAGTTAATGACAACATCATCGAATAACTGGATGTTGATTAAAATTATCAAACTAGTAAGTTAATATTACATAGTGATATTGATCTGCTGTGTTTGCTTTTTAATAACAGCTTGATAAACTATGAATCAATTTGGCTGTTCTAAAATATTAATTTTTCCTTTGCTTTTTTCTCCAAAACGATAATAAATTTCTCATTAGAGGAAGAATTTTCATGAGTAATAATACTTTTTGTAGTTTGGTGCACTGGTACCACTGGAGCCTCGTCTTGGCAAAAAATTGCTGGAGCCGCTGACGAATTTAATCAATAGGTTGGTGTTAAAGGTGTAAATCTTTTCGTTACCTTTTCGTTACGCTTGCTAATAAACTGCTGCTTTATGCTTACTCATTACTAGTCTTATAAAAATTTGTCACTCAAAAATTAATTTTTCAGTACATCAGCGATGTCACTACTATATGAATGCATCAACACAGTTATTGCGGGTGCGCTTTTTTAATATTTTAGAATATAAATTTCAAATAGTATTTTCTTAAATGACTTAGTATGCTAGTACATGCAGAATGCTAATACTTGTTGAGGATACTTCATAACCTCATGTTTTGACTAACGTCCTAAAACTCAATTTTCAGTCTCCTAGTTGACGTCATGTTTTTATTTGATCCAAGTACTAGTAATCCCTTAAAGTTTTAAATTCACTTGAGTTTATATTCATTAATAAACAGATGCGATTGTGTTTCAGTACTGATAAGTATATCATCTGGTGTACCCGGTGATCATACTGCCAGCATACAGGTACGCGATTTGGAAATTTGTATTGGACGATTAACAATGAAATGTGCTTGCGTATCTTAAGTCTTTAACTGCGTCCATTTGCAGTTTATATGAAAATTATACTTGAATGTAACAATTTCATGAAATCCATATCAATTCATATACAGGAAAGAAAGAGTAAAGCTTTCTTAACGGATACTATCATGATTATTGTTTTTTGAAATTCTTATGTTTTACAGCTTTGTGTGCAGAAATTGGGTGTATTAATTGAAGATTCTGACCAAAACTTAAAATATCTTGGTTTGCTTGCAATGGGAAAGATTTTGCAAACACATCCTAAAGCAGTGCAGGCCCATAAAGATATTGTGTTGCGGTGTTTGGATGACAGAGATGAAAGTATTCGTCTAAGGTTTCCGCTTTATTTTTTTTGTATCAAATTTATGCATAATTCGAACATAGCAGAGAATTTTTATGAATTATAATGCGCTTTGAGTGTGTTTCATTTTAATTTTAAGTTTCTCGAAGCAGAAAGATAATATACTACAATATTATTTCATCATGAGACATCTTTCTCTGGTTTAAAGAAGTCGCCTTTAAGAGCATTAGATCTTCTGTATGGAATGGTATCCAAACGAAATATCATGGAAATTGTGCGAAAACTAATGGATCATGTTGATGCAGCAGAAGGATCGTATTATCGTGATGAGCTGCTCTCAAGAATTATAGCAATATGTTCATACAATAATTATCAATATATTACAAATTTTGAGTGGTAATGGTTTTCATTTATTTTTATTCCAAACATTTGGGGGAATTCTGATACTAAACGGTGAAAAGTTTTCATAGTTTTTGCTATTACTGCAGAAATAATGACTTTCGGTTGTTAGGCAACATAAGGTTTTTCTTTTTTAACCTTATAATTTGGGTTATAATTTATGTTGTAAATTTTTGCAGGTATATATCAGTACTGGTAGAATTAACGAAAGTGGAAGGTACAAGGCATGGTACAATGATTGCTGAGCAGGTGTTTATTTGATCATCTATTCATGATCGTACTTTTTTTTTCAAAATGTTGATTTTATCAAGTCCAAAAAGAAAAAACTTGACCGATGATGATGAATTTGCACAGTTCTGCAAATTATGCTGAAGACTGATGATCGATACTGAGGTCACTGACACTGTTTTACGCGATTTTTTCTTTCAATAAGTTGATATTTACTCTTTTCATTATATCATTTATTTTGGGGTAGTAATTGAACAAAATATCTAACATCCAAATAGAATAAAATGTTGCGGGGTCTTCTATAAAATTTATTTTTATCAAAAGTTTTTTTTCTGAGAATTGCAGATGCTTGATGTATCAGTGCGCGTTCAATCGATAAGACATTTCTCGGTGTCTCAAATGGCTTTGCTTGTTGAAAATGCTCATCTCCTGCTTGCCGGCAGTGCACAGCATCGTAGCAATATGTGTGAAGTGCTACTGGCTGCAGCATGGATTTGTGGTGAATATTGCCAGTAAGTTTAATGAAATTATGTTTTGTTGGTGAAAACACAAAAAGACAACTAGAATGAACTTATTGTTACCACTGCTAATCCTTATCCTCCTACAGCTTATATAACTCTAGAAATAGCAGTCAGTGCTATCAAAAACACAAACTTTCCTACTTTGCAAAAAATCATTAAATTCATTGAAACCTTGCTAC